GCTTTAAGATTGTTGGTTTTATGGTTCTAAATCTAAATGAATGAAATGTGTAGAGGAGACCTACTACTTATTGCTTCAAGGCGAGTTCTCTCTATCCTTGAAGCAATTTGCCTCTACCGTTCGATAGAACATAGTGCTTAGAGATTATAGCGAATCACTTCCCAAGATACAATGAAGGAAACGATTATCAACACCACACTTAGTGGTGATTATTATTATTATTTTTAAGTTGACTTAAAAATTATGGCATAAGCCTATTACTTTTTAAATTATTAAAACAAACATCAAATATTGTTGGGTAAGCTTTTTCATATTTCAAGTGGAACACTGTGATCAAACATTGGGCATTTGTACTCTCTATAATTGTCTGCCTGTTTTTACTTCATCCCATCCTTCTTTACAAAACCCAAAAAGAGAAACAATATAATCTTTCCATTTGCACTTGTGCATAGACAATTACTCTTATACACATGTGCATATTGTACAGGCTTTTAGGGAGTTTTTCATTTTCTTTTACGGTTTTCCCCTAAATCTGATTGATTTGTTGCATTTTGTCCATGTAATTAAGTCTTGGATGTTAATTTTCTTACAAAACAGCAGCAAGTAGAAGTTGCAGCGAAACCAACAGTAGAAGCACGACGGGGACAGCAGCCACATCATTCTCTCAGACCCAAGAAAATGCACACATCGAGGGATTACACACACCATGTAACACCCCAAATTTAAGGGTTGTTTGTAAAGTATGTAAAAATCGAGGACTAAAAAGGATTGATGGTAGAAATAGAGTAATGGAAGGGAGGTTGAAAAAGTCAACCTCATGGGAGGGAATTCGGTTGTGGAGTTTATCTCCAAAAACAGAGTTTAAATCTCTTTGGGGGGGGGGGGACCCAGATAAAGGGAGAAAAGGAAAAGGGGAGGATTTTTCTATTCATTGTTCCCATGAGGTTCATGAAGAAAAGAAAACGAGAGAAATCGGCAAAGGTCTAGCAAGAAGAAAGGGTTTTTGAAAGGATCGATTCAAGCTTGGTGCAGAAAGTTTTGGAGACTCGATCATTGGTCTTCGGTGTTCAGGTCGAAAGAAAAGAATAAAGGAAAATACAAAATTCTAACGTTGCTCAACTATTAAACAACTCACGCTAGTTTTCATGACTCATTTTCCCCAAGGGGAGGATAAACAATTAGTTTTGTTACGGTTTACACAGTTTAATTGTTATACATTAATTGTTTAAATCGTTTAGCAATTGTATATATGATTGCTATTGTTATTTTATATTACTCAAATGTGAAAATTTGTAGTACGAATAACTCGATTTAGCTCAGTGCTACTCAACAATAGTTATATAGTTCAGAGTTAGAAAGTACTGATACTTCAGATTTAAGACATACAGTTCAGAGTAAGAAACTCTGTACTTCGGAGTTAAGACTTACAGTTCAAAGTTATAAAATCTGAAGACCTGTACTTCAGACTTAAGACTTACAGTTCAAGTTAGAAACTACAAAGACTTATACTTCAGAGTTAAAACTTACAGTTCAGAGTTATAAAGTCTGAAGACTTATACTTCAGACTTAAGACTTA